AGCAATTTGTTCGAAAAACAAAATATCAAAAAAAAAAAAAAAAAAATAAGTCAGCTGTCGTCAGAGAATAAGGGTGGCTTAGTTCTTCTACCGGTATAAATGGTGCATTTTTGATCCCCCCTTTTTTTGAAATATGATGTTTTGCCAACATCTTTTGAGCATTTTCGTGCCATGCATCTCACCGTTGTTTGACCATTTTTTGCTGGCTTTGCGCCAATTTTTCTTTCTTAAATGTAATATTTGTTTGCTCGGATTTTTGCGCTTTTCAGCCATACGTGCCCTTTTGAACGGTGCATCTCATAACCCAAAAATTTTCGCGCTTCCCCCTCCGAAACGAACGATTTTGTAGTGTCCCGAACGTAAAAAGAATTTTTTTTTTTTCGAGTATACATTTCAAACGCAAAGCAGCCTGTAGGAATGAAGCATTTGTTCAAACATTGGAGCGTCAGAACAATTTCGATGCATGTTTTTCGACATTTTAGTAGTTGATATCTTTAAATCTTTTAAAAATCAGAATCGAGCATCACTAGGGGTCCCTTCCTGGATGTTGTAGCATTCGTCTAAAATCCCATGCGATTTTTACAGGTGAATTCGATCGCACGCATCCTAGGCACCGAAAGAGGACATGGCAAAGAAGACACAGTAAGTCGCTTTCGGGACGGTTGTTTATTACTTTAAAATGTACGCCAATGATATGCTGAAATTTTTTGAGGTAAAAGGCAATTTTGCTGATTTTTTGTGAATATTCCATGCAGGTAATTTCATTATCATCTTGTGTACTAAGCAAAATTTCACTGTAAAAACTTGTGGATGAAATTAAATTTTTATAAGACCATCACTACGAAGAACAGAGGCACCCTTCACTTCCCTTGCTCTGATATAAAGCAGCAAAAGCTCTATGCATCTCTACGACGCACGTACTGGACGGGTGGCCCGATCTAACCAGAAAAAGGAAGCAAACTTGTTGAGAAAACAGTATAGATTTAACATCTGGTAACCAATACGGATATTTTGAGCGCTCAAATTATTGCAGGTAACCAATGTGCTTCATTTCTTGCAAAAGCCGGAAGACAAGGGCAAAAAGGCACCGATGGCGAAAAAACGATCGTCATCTTCGAGATCGTCAAAGAGGGGAAAGAAACAGAAGAGGACGGTAAAGAGAGGTAAATTCTGCCAGTGTTAATTGTAGAAGGATTTCCAATACAACCTTTGGTGATTTATATGAACCGAGTGCTTTTTTGCACCGAAAAACAGTTTTTACAGGACATACAAACAAGTAAGCATAACTCAGATGTGCTGAAAATTTAAAATGCTAAAAGTAATCGGAATTTGCAGCAAAGAAAGCAGGTGCAGCGAAGGAGACGGAGGATGAGGATTCCGACGACAACGAAAGTCAGAGCGGAGAGGAATCGAGCGGCGGCGAGGAGGAGAACGAGACGAAGTCGGAGCTGAAGAGTCTGGCGAGCAGTGCCAAAAAGAAGGGGACCAGGAGTTCACGTGCTGAAACTAAACAGGACAAGGTATTTTTTCACTTCTGTTTCATGACGACCAAATTGGTCTCCTTAACTTTTACCATATTTTGATGTCCAGCTACTGAAAAATTTGTATTCTTTTTATTTTTCTTTGAAGAAGCAAAGCTGGGGAGACGGTGGGCCAACCGGTGAAGAAGTGGACGCAGCAATTGATGAAATCCTTCATGCAGTAGATCTTGGCAACTGCACCATGAAGCAAATGTGTGACAGGGTAAATACTTCTTTTCACCACATTATTTTCAGGAACCCACCGCCCCCGCAGATTTCACTCCTGCCTTAGGCAAACGTCTGATGCATATTAGCATAGCCCAAAAAAACAGCTCAGCAAATTGGATAGGTTTTTTCGGATGCTTACAAAGAATTTGAGGGGAAAACTCAATAAACAGGTGGTAGGTTCCGACGGCCAACATTTCCCCCAACATCTTCTTATGTTTTGGTACTGATGTGTTTCCAGGAGAGAGGATATTCCATGTATTATGCATTTCACTTCAGTGGTGTTTGACCTGCTAATAATTCCAGAATGCTTGCAGATTGCAGAGAAATTCCCGAATTTGGATATGGCGACGTACAAGGCACCGCTGAAGGAGCGTGTTAAGGTGGCGTTGGAAAAAATGGAGGATTCTTGAAGTTTTTATGATGTTGCCGATCTCCCGCTGTACACCACTCATGATGATTATCTTGGCAGATTATTTGATGCCTCTTTTTTTTTATCGGGCAGTTTTTCCGCTGCTGCATTTGTTTTTGATTGATTCAACTTTATCCATATTTTATCTTTTTAAACTTTGTCAGAATTGTTGTTCACGTCGTTATTTTTTTCTCTCCTACCGGACACAGAATGCATACATTTTTCCTCGGTAAGTACTAAAACTCGGCTCGGTTTGGTTCGGCCGCATAATATTCGCTTGTTTTTGGGTCCGGGCTAGAGTGCGCAAGTTGGTTTACCACGTCTTTTTGGTAGGGTTCCAGTTATCGCATTTGAAATTGCTGACTTTCCCTCAGCACTAAGTTTTAGGTCAAATGTGAAGAACCCAGAACAGAACCCCTCCCCCTCCCAAAAAAACCTCAGCCCCCTTAGTTACTACCTCCAAGCGGGACCCCAACTTGCTTACATTAATAATCCCCTCCATAATGGTTTAAGCCTAGGAAGTCATAACGGACATCCGTCCCTCCTACCTCTTCATTGTTGCAACCCGAGTAGTCCGAGCCGGGCCGAGTTCTAGTGATTATT